TCGAAATTAAACTTCTATTGCGCGCGCCACGCGCCCCCCCCCCCTCTCTCCTCACCATGAGCTGGTCGACGCTGAATCCGAGGCTCGAGAACAGCGACTCGTCCACCGCGATCGCCTCCTCCTGACTCAAGTACGACAGCGCTCGCTCCTCCGCGCGCCCATGCTCCCCCGCGCGCACGTGCTCCCCCCCGCCTGACCCCGGCTGCTCCGCCTCCATGCTGGCCCTCGTTACGAGCGCGCGCTCGCTAGGGCGCCACGCCGAGCTTCCGCCGGCTGGGAGGAGAGCGGAGGGTGCTGCGCGCGGGCTGGAACGGCGGACGAACGAGCGCGTGCTCGCGGGAAATGGGAGAATATGTCTGGGGACAGCAGGGAGGGGAAGAGGCGCGGGAGGCGCGCGCGAGAGTTGGCGGAGGAAAGAAGCGCGGAGGAACGGAGACGCGGTGGAAGAGGAGACGGTGCGGAGGGAGAGGAGCGAGGACATGGCCAAGAAGGCAGGAGCCCTTGGGACGCGACCCGAGGGCCAGGAGAATCTACAGGGAAGTGGAGGATGCTTGGGTGGGGTGGGGTGTAATTGGTGGAATCACAGAGCGTGGGTGCCCAAAAGGCCAACCACGCAGACTTGCGCGATGTACGCGCTTCTGTATACCGCCTCTGCATATACAGCATCATGGTGAATGTAAGGAACGGTTTGGGGAAATCTCCTAGACTTTATTATCAATTGAACATAATTGAGACAAAAAAGGGGATATCAATGCAATTTTATAGCTTTTGAGATTTGAAAAATAAATCAGCTACTTATTCTTCTGCCGTGATTTCTCAAGTCGGTAATAAACTTGTTTCCCCAACTTTGGGTCTTCTTATGAGTAGCTAAGCCTGATTTTGATTCATTTAAGGCCCGCGGTTAAAATAGCAGACCTGGAAACCACTTGAATTTGGTGCTTTAAAATCCGTCTAAGCTAAGGATGGAAGGCAGCTTTGAGTTCACGCCTGAACAAGAAATGTGCGTCGAAACGAATTCTAGTCGAGCTTGCTGATGTGAGGAATGTCGAAAGAACTCGTTTTGCTGTTTGTTGCGACATGATCATAAAAATGCGATTTGCGCACAAAGACGGTGTGCATCGCACGGAGTTTCTACGACGGGTTTGGGCAAGAATTTTGCGATGAGGAAATACAAGCGCTTTATGACTAGGGAATTCAAGTGATTTCCAGGTCTGCAATTCCGGAATCAGCTACTGTTCGCCAAAAATACACTGTTCTTCTCGCATTCACAATGTTCACGGAACCACGAATTCGGTCGCACGATGCGTATCGTACTGTTAACTGAATGGTTTCGTGCAAAACTGTCGCCAAACCGACATGGTCAGATTCCGCTTTGCAAAACGAAAGCTTGCTCTTTTGAATTTCAAATTCCTCGACCCTAACAAACGTGCCTCCACATCCTCGCGCCGCGACATCTCCGCCCCTCCCCACGACAAAGCATGGAGCATCCCAACTTCCTCGCTTCCTCAAATGCACTCTTCCTATTATTCCGCCATACCATTGACCTCTCTTTAGTGCGAAAAAGATCTAACCGATTCTCCCCCTCAGGTCGACGCATAAATTGCGCGAGTTGGCTAGCAGCGTAGGCGAGATCTGGACGACACGTTACAGCTGCGAATAGAAGACAACCCAGTTGCTGCTGATAAACCTGTAGTTCCGTATTATCGAGTACAGTAGTATCCGGTTGATGATGGGTCAGTAAAGATCGGTAAGGAGTAGTAGTGACGGTTGAAGCCATGATATTAAAGTGTGCGGCTAGCGTAGCTGCATACTTGGAAGTTGTTAAATGAATATCAGTTTCAGTTTGGTAGATGTTTAGTCCAAGAAACTGTGTGACTATAGGGGCGATAGTAATCTGTGAGTTCTTTTGAAGTTTCTGTTTGAAGATAGTAGTGAGAGGATCCGTAGTGCTGATGTAAAGAAAGTCGTCGACGTAGGCGACGAGAAGAATAAAGTCGGTACCGTCGGTAAGCACGTACATTCCCTAGTCGTGTGGAAGTTGTCGAAATCCGGCATTTAACAGTTGACGGTGTAGATATTGCTGCCAGAGTCGTGGTGCCTGTTTGATTCCGTAGAGAGATTTTCTGAGACGGCACACGCTGGGAGGATTAGTTTCATAGGAATATGGATACTCGACCAGAATTAAAATCGATCTTTAGTGCATCGACATGCGCATATAGAAAAGCGTTGGCGACGTCGATTTGGCAAAGTCTGAAATTCCGGTAGGCTGCGATGCAGAGAAGAATTCTGACACTAGTGTGTTGGCCGACGGGAGCAAAGGTAAGTTTGCTCGAAGCCGCGAACGACCCATCGCGCTTTGAACTTCTCGAAGGAACCATCGGCATTTGTCTTCACGCGGAAAACCCATTTCCCGGTAAGAACTTTACTCCCCCTTGTTGTGGTAAAATCGTACTTAAGCATTTCTGTAAGTAGTTCCGACGGATATTGTCGAGTTATACTGTAGTTAGCATCCGTAGAATGACATCAGCAAATAGCGCTCGTCTGGATGATTACGTCAGCAAGCCGTTTCAGTCACGCGAACAGTCGCGCTAATTTCAGTAGCGGTTAGAGCGCATAGCGCAAATAGCTCGAACACGTACATCACCGAATAGGTACAGTACTTCTAGCAGATATACAAGTAACTTGTACAACTTCAATTATCAACTTGTTCTTCAGTAAATTCTGGTCAACACTTTACAAGTTCTAAGACTTCCGCTATCTTACTATTCTACCATTCCAGCAAAGATCCAAGCGAAAAGCTAGAATAGTGAAGGCTGGCCCAACTTGAAAGAGGGCTCCCTTTGAGCGACTCAACTTGGAAACCGGCTTCAACAAACAACTGTTCCAAACTGTCGCGGGTTGGCCGATCGGAATTTCAGCTCAAAGCTGATTGGTTCCCGCCAAAATGTTAATCGTAGAGCGAAATGCGCCATCTGTCATGGCAGCGAATCTGACAACGAATCCGTGTCAGGGGTCGCACTTGTCAATGCGACACTTGCACGGCGAGTGCAAACGACAAGCTGGGCTCTCAGATCGAGATGGGCCCAACTCGTTTTTCAAATTGGGCCTGGGTTCACAATTGCTGCAGATTCACTACTCCCGTTCCCACGCAAAGCGACATCCAGCTAGCTCATTGTCGCCGAGAAAGCAAACTAGTTCCGCTAGCTGCCCTACCGCAAAGAAACTTAGTGCCGAGGAGCTATGAGAGAGAGTGTGGCGCTGCAGGAGAGAGAGAGAGAGAGAGAGAGAGAGAGAGAGGGAGAGACGCGGCTAGAGAGGGAGAGATGCAGCGAGAAAGGGTGAAATGCGGCGAGAGAGGGAGAGACGCGGCGAGAGAGGGAGAGACGCGGCTAGAGAGGGAGAGACACGACGGAAGCGGTAGAGACGCGGCGAGAGAGGAAGAGAAGTGGCGAGAGAGGGAGAGACACGACGTGAGCGGGAGAGACGCGGCGAGAGAGGGAGAGACGCGGCAAGAGAGGGAGAGACGCTGCGTGAGAGGGAGAGACACGACGTGAGCGGGAGAGACACGGCGAGAGAGGGAGAGAAGTGGCGAGAGAGGGAGAGACGTGGCGAGAGAGGGAGAGATGCGGCGATAGAGGGAGAGACGCGGCGTGAGAGGGAGAGACATGGTGTGAGTGGTAGAGACGCGGCGAGAGAGGGAGAGAAGTGGCGAGAGAGGGAGAGACACGACGTGAGCGGGAGAGACGCGGCGAGAGAGGGAGAGACACGGCAAGAGTGGGAGAGACGCGGCGAGAGAGAGAGAGAGAGATGCGGCAATAGAGGGAGAGACGCGGCGTGAGAGGGAGAGACATGGCGTGAGCGGTAGAGACGCGGCGAGAGAGGGAGAGAAGTGGCGAGCGAGGGAGAGACACGACGTGAGCGGGAGAGATACAGCAAGAGAGGGAGAGACGCGGCAAGAGAGGGTGAGACGCTGCGTGAGAGGGAAAGACACGATGTGAGCGGGAGAGACATGGTGAGAGAGGGAGAGAAGTGGCGAGAGAGGGAGAGACGCGGCGAGAGAGGGAGAGATGCGGCGATAGAGGGAGAGACGCAGCGTGAGAGGGAGAGACATGGTGTGAGCGGGAGAGATGCGGCGAGAGAGGGAGAGAAGTGGCGAGAGAGGGAGAGACGCGGCAAGAGAGGGAGAGACACGGCTAGAGAGGGAGTGACACGATGGGAGAGGGAGAGAATTGGCGAGAGAGGGAGAGACGCAGCGAGAGAGGGAGAGATGCGGTGATAGAGGGAGAGACACGGCATGAGAGGGAGAGACATGGCGTGAGCGGTAGAGACGCGGCGAGAGAGGAAGAGAAGTGGCGAAAGAGGGAGAGACACGACGTGAGCGGGAGAGAAGTTGCGAGAGAGGGAGAGACGCGGCGAGAGAGGAAGAGAAGTGGCGAAAGAGGGAGAGATACGACGTGAGAGGGAGAGATGCGGCGAGAGAGGGAGAGAAGTGGCGAGAGAGGGAGAGACGCGGCGAGAGAGGGAGAGATGTGGCGATAGAGGGAAAGACGCGGGGTGAGACAGAGAGATATGGCGTGAGCGGTAGAGACGCGGCGAGAGAGGGAGAGAAGTGGCGAGAGAGGGAGAGACACGACGTGAGCGGGAGAGACGCGGCGAGAGAGGGAGAGACGCGGCAAGAGTGGGAGAGACGCTGCGTGAGAGGGAGAGACACGACGTGAGCGGGAGAGAGGCGACGAGAGAGGGAGAGAAGTGGCGAGAGAGGGAGAGACGCGGCGAGAGAGGGAGAGATGCGGCGATAGAAGGAGAGACGCAGCGTGAGAGGGAGAGACATAGCGTGAGCGGGAGAGATGCGGCGAGAGAGGGAGAGAAGTGGCGAGAGAGGGAGAGACGCGGCGAGAGAGGGAGAGACACGGCTAGAGAGGGAGAGACATGACGGGAGAGGGAGAGACGCGGCGAGAGAGGTTGAGATGCGGCGATAGAGGGAGAGACGCGGCGTGAGAGGGAGAGACACGGCGTGAGCGGGAGAGACGCGACGAGGGAGGGAGAGACGCGGCGAGGGAGGGAGAGACGCGGCGAGGGAGGGAGAGACACACTCGTTGGCCCGTCACGCACCTCTAGCCGTGCCACTCCCTTCCCGCCGCGCCACATTCGCTCGCCCGTCACGCACCTCTCGCCTTGCCACTCCTTTCCCGCCGCGCCACACTCTTTCGTCCGTCGCTCCCGCCATAAGCGCCTCTCCGTGTCTTCGCCTCTCTCTCTCTCTCTCTCTCTCTCTCTCTCTCTCTCTCTCTCTCTCTCTCTCTCTCTCTCTCTCTCTCTCTCTCTCTCTCTCTCTCTTTCTCTCTCTCTCTCTCTCTCTCTTTCTCTCTCTCTCTCTCTCTCTTGCTCTCTCTCTTTCCCTCTCTCTCTCTCTCTCTCTCTCTCTCTCTCTCTCTCTCTCTCTCTCTCTCTCTCTCTCTCTCTCTCTCTCTCTCTCTCTCTCTCTCTCTCTCTCTCTCGCTTTCTCTGATATTTTACTTTGTCTTTGGTTTAATGTCTTGGTTTGCAGGGCCTGGAAGTGACATGCGACGAGGAAATGTGTGCCTTGGCTTTCAAAATGTAGGTCCGCAACTAGTTTCGTCGCAGCGTAGCGAGTGGCTGGTGTTATGCGACAATCAAGCAAAATGTCTGTTTGTATTCTTGTCGCCAAGGATCGGCCATGCAAGAGCTATTGCGGAAAAAAAAAAACGTGTCTCACAAGGTTCCAACCAACACACTCTTGATTGGAACTAGTTCAGGTTGGGTCCAACTCGATGTGGGGGTCATTATTATAGCCTCTCGCTTTAAGTTTTGAAGTATCGCAAGGCTGTAACACTGACTTTGGTGTTACAACTTGTTAATACTGGCTGTTACTGGAGGTACTTCCAGTATTACTTTCTAATTCAAGTACTTGTCTCTGCAGATTCTATACTCGGTCTCCTGCACCACCTTTCGAATTCTTTCAGAACAATGGTGCATTGACTTCTATGTTGAGCTTCCCCACATTCTGCACAAGCTGGGGATTCTTCAAATAACAGCATCTGTACTTGGCAACCGTATACCGTAACGCGTACAGCTTGCTCTTTTGAATTTCAAATTCCTCGACCCCAACAAACGTGGCTCCACAACCTCGCGCCGCGACATCTCCGCCCCTCCCCACAACAAAGCATGGAGCTGCGCTACATAACTCCCAACTTCCTCACTTCCTCAAATGCACCCTTTCTATTGTTCCGCCATACCATTGACCTCTCTTGCTAGCAGTCGTGCAGCAGATCATAGTACTCAGCTTGCTGACCTTGTCCCGCTCGTTGTAGCCCCTGTTTTCCGTCTTGTGCCACCGAGCGCTCGACACGCCTAATCTAAGTCCAAGCCACAATGAAGCGGAAGCATCCATCAAAGCCCTTAGACAAGCCCGATTCTGCAGCACCCCTTGCCATGGACGCCAAGCCGCTCAAACCCCTCGCCGGCGGCGGCCGTCTCAGGAGAATCGCGGACCTCGACGAGCTCGGCCCCGGCGCGAGGCGACTCACGAGTGAAGTTTATTACGGCGACGCGCTGCGGTCGTTCGTGAGAGACGTCGAGAGGCTCACAGGAACGGGTGGCGTGGGACTAGCAGTGGCGCCACCGGCGGCGGCGGCGGCGGCGACGGTAGGAGGAGGAGGCGGCGCACCAGGAGAGGCGTTCGTGCCGCTGGGTGGTGGCAAGCTGGCGTCGGGCGTCACTCCGACGGACACTCTCGCGTTCGTGGCGTCGGAGCTCGGCGCGCGCCAGTCGCCCTTGTTCACGGTGGGTGGCGCCTCACGGCGTGAGGCTGCAGGCGACGGCGAGCAATACTCACTAAGCAGTACTCATTGACCTCGCAAGGAATTAGATGCCATCAATGAGGGCGTGTCGACGTAGCACGCGATTATATCAAGCCGCCGTGAAATACCCCTCCTCCGTTTATACCAGAAGTATAGCAGCCGTGGAAGACAAGCTGTCGCGTATAACGTGTGCCGCGAATCGATCTCGCCACGTGCCGCCTATGATCACTCTACTCCTCTCCTCCTTCCACTTCTCCACCCCCCCTTCCCTCCCCTCAGGAGCTTCATAACAAGCTGCACCGCGCCCCTCGTCCGCCCCGCGTCAAGGATCTGCGCCGTCTCTCCCCCAGCGCCCTGCGCCTCCTCGCCGCGCTCCTCCGCATCCCCGCACCGCTCCCCGCGCCCCTCTACGCTCTCCGCCAAGAGCCCCCCGAACCCACCGAACCCCCCGCCATATCGCCCACGCAAACGCCCGCCGCCAACAACCTTGCCGCCAAAGCATCCACCGAGCCGCCACCGCCGCATAAGCTGGTGTTGGAAGGCGCAGCGGGCGCAGCGGAGGCAACAGGCGGAACACGGCAGCAGCGGGCGGGAAGCGGCGGATCGTCTGTGGGCGCTGCACCGGCTGCAGTGGCTCGTGAGACGGACAAGAGGGAGAAACAGCAGCTCATATCGCGTATCGTGACGTCAGCCGTGTGGAAGCGCGAAGCGAGCAGCATGAGCGGTAAGAGCCCCAGCTTCCGCTCCCGCCCCGTCGCCAACCTTTACACCGCCAATCCCGACACCGCCAATCCCGGCACCGCCAATCCCGACACTTCCACCCCCCGCAACGCGGAGAGTCGGAGTTCCAACAGCGCCAGCACTTCTACTACGACTACTAATCCTACTAACGGCCCGAAGGGTCCGTGCACCGACCATCATCATGTTCTTAGCAACTGCCCCGTCGCGGAGCCTGCTTGCTGCGACGCGCTGGCGTGCAGCGCGCAAGACGGGCTCCAGCGCCCCGCGGGCGAGGTGACGGCGGAAGAGCTTTCCCCCATGGGGGAAGCGGAGGAGGGGGAGGGGCGCGGACCGGTCGGGGGAAGCGGAGGTGTTGAGGTGAATATGGTGGGGGTGGGCGTTATTGGCGGGGAGGCAGGAGACGCCACTGTGACTGTAACGAGCGCGCAGCAGATCGGGAGTATCAGGACGAACGAAGGAAGGGCGCAGCTGAAGCGCGCCGGAGGAGAGGATGAGCGACGCCACGTGGCAGCTGCAGTCGGCGGAACAGCCTGTGAGTGCGTGGAAGCGGCGCACAAGCGGCAGAAGCGCGTGAAACTCGTGGTCGCGCCGCTGTGCTTGCAGTCGCCGCAAAGAGGGGGGCAGCAGTGCTTGCAGTTACCGCAGAAAGCGCCCAAAGAGGAGATGGCCACGATAGATGCGCGCTCCGTGTGGCCGATGGAACCTGAAGAACACGAGGACGTTACTGCTACCGCTGCGGAAGGACTCGCGGAAGGACAGGCGGAAAGACAGGCGGAAAGACAGGCGGAAAGACAGGCGGAAAGACAGGCGGAAGGACAGGCGGAACGACAGGCGGAAAAAGCGCTGGCGCAGGCGGCGCTGCCACTCGCGGAGGTGGGCGGGATGCGCGCGAGTGAAGGGGGAGAAACGTCGAAGCGGATGGCCTGTGAGTCACCGCGGAAAGCGCTTGCGGAAGAGGCGCGGGGGGAGGAAGGCAAAGCAGCGGCGGGGGGGAAGGGTGTGCGTAGTGCGGAGGTGCAGGCGGAGGAACCGGAGAACAGGCGGAGGCAGGCGGAAGGTGCAGTAGACGACGCGGCAGGGAGCGCGGCAGAGCAGGCGGCAGGGAGCGCAGTAGAGACTCAGAGCCAGCCGGGTAAGGCGAAGACCCAGCAGCAGCCGTGCTCTGAAGGCTTGCCGCGCCGTGAGGGGGTGGGTGGCGCTGACAGGCGCGATGGGGGAAGAACGGCGGAGCGGGAAGGGATGGCGGAGGGAGAAGGGATGGTGGAGAGGGAAGGGATGGCGAAGGGGGGAGGGATGACGGCGGGGGAAGGGATGGCGGAGGGGGAAGGGGTGGCGGGGGGCGATGGGAACTGCGGCGAGGTGCGCGTGCAAGGGATAGTGGCGGAAGCGGAGGTGGCTGAGGGGGAGGAGGAAGAGGAAGATGGGGAGGAAGGGGAAGAAGGGGTGCAGAAACGGGACATGGCGGATGGGGCTTGCGCCAATCAAAGAATCTGCGGTAGCCCAGGCGGGGAAGGCGGAAGTTTGGCGGGGAACTGGGGAGGCAGGGGAGGAGACGAGGCGGGCGCGGCGTCAGTTAACGCGGAAAAGGAAGCAGCGATGGCGGAGATTGTTGTCGGGCAGCATGGGGGCTCTGCGGCGGAACGGATTGAACAGGGCGCAGCGCATGACACGGGGGTTGCGAGCGGGTTTTGCAGTAACGGGGATGCAGAGGACAGAGCTGGGAAGGAAGGGGGAATGGAGAGAGGAAGGGGAACTTTGGGGGAGAGTGGGGGAGGGTGTGAGGATGAGGGGACGGCAGAGGAAGAGGGATCCAACGGATACGGAAGCGAGGGTAGGGTTGATGGAGGGAGTGTTGAGGAGAGGGACAGTGGGAGTGAGGGAGTGAGTGAGAGAGAGAGCGAGTGTGAGACAGCTGGTTCTAGTCTTAGTAAGGACGGGGGAAGTGAAGGGGCGGTGGTAACTGACGAGGGGTCTTCAGAAGGAGTAGGTGCTTCTCAGGGAGTAGGTGCTTCTCAGGGAGTAGGTGCTTCTCAGGGAGGTGCTTCTGGTGCAGGTTCTCCTGGGGGAGGTGTTTCTGACGCGTCAGGCACCCATGAAGACATTCCAGGTTCATCCACTTCCGGTGGAGTACATAATTCTCTCGTGCGTCCACCAACTCCTGACGGAGGAGGTACATCTGGTGCAGATTTTCCTGCGGCTGCTGCTGCCCGAGGGGCGTGTGGCGATGGCGCTTCCGATGGTGGTGCTTCGGATTCAGACGAATCTTTCTGCAGCGCTCGTGAAACACCTGATGAACTCATGGAAGCACCTGAACTGTTGGAAGCACCTGAAGTGGCTGAAGTGCCTGGTGCACCAGAGACAGCATGGCAGGGCATTGTGAGCTTGCTCATGGGCCAAGGTAAAGCAGAAGAGGACGCAGAGGAGGGGGAAGCAGAGGCAGGGGAAGCAGAGGCGGGGGAAGCAGAGGCGGGGGAAGCAGAGGAGGGGGAAGCAGAGGCGGGGGAAGCAGAGGCGGGGGAAGCAGAGGCGGGGGAAGCAGAGGCGGGGGAAGCAGAGGAGGGGGAAGCAGAGGCGGGGGAAGCAGAGGCGGGGGAAGCAGAGGCGGGGGAAGCAGAGGCGGGGGAAGCAGAGGAGGGGGAAGCAGAGGAGGGGGAAGCAGAGGCGGGGGAAGCAGAGGCGGGGGAAGCAGAGGCAGAGGAAGCAGAGGCTGGGGAAGCAGAGGCAGAGGAAGCAGAGGCGGGGGAAGCAGAGGAGGGGGAAGCAGAGGAGGGGGAAGCAGAGGAGGGGGAAGCAGAGGAGGGTGAATTAGAGGAGGGTGAATCAGAGGAGGGTGGATTAGAGGAGGGGGAAACAGAGGAAGGGGAGGCAATCGGAGGGGAAGCAGAAGAGGGGGAAGCAGAGGAGGGGGAAACAGAGGTGGGGGAAACAGAAGAGGGGGAATCAGAGGAGGGGGGAGCAGAGGTGGCGGAAGCAGAAGTGGGGGAAACAGAGGAGGAAGAAGAGGAGGAGGCAGAGGTGGAGTGGGTGGAGGTAGCTGTGCAGCAGATGGATGTAACACATGCGGCATGGCTCAACGGCCACTGGCACAAGGCTGCCATCTTTGGCACGGGTGGGCACGGCATAGATGTGGTCGATGGCAGCACCTATGACACCCCTTGCAGGTCCCAGAATGCTCTTGAACCTGTTGCTGCTCCCGAACCTGTTGCCGCTCCCGAATCTGTTGCTGCTCTTGAACCTGTTGCCGCTCCTGAACCCGTTCCCGCTCCTGAACCTGTTCCCGATTCCGAACCTGTTGCTGCTCCCGAACCTGTTCCTGCTCTTGAACCTGTTGCCTCTCCTGAACCTGTTGCCACCCCCGAACCTGTTGCCGCTCCCGAACCTGTTGCTGCTCCCGAACCTGTTGCTGCTCTTGAACCTGTTGGCGCTCCTGAACCTGTTGCCGCTCCTGAACCTGTTCCCGCTCCCGAACCTGTTCCTGCTTCCGAACCTGTTGCTGCTCCCGAACCTGTTGCTGCTCTTGAACCCGTTGCCTCTCCTGAATCTGTTGCCTCTCTTGAACCTGTTGCCTCTCCTGAAGCTGTTGCCGCTCCTGAACCTGTTGCCTCTCTCGAACCTGTTACTGCTGCTGAAGCTGGTTTTACCTCTGAAGCTGCTACTATTCCTGAAGCTGCTACTATTCCTGAAGCTGCTACTATTCCTGAAGCTGCTACTATTCCTGAAGCTGTTACAATTTCTGAGGCTGCCACTGTTTCTGAAGTTGTTGCTTCTGCTTCTGTCATCACAGCCATGGCCACTTGTAGTGCCATAGCTGCTTCTGGCCCCCCTATTGCAGACATTACAGCAGGGGTTGAAGCTGATGCTGCTGCCGCTGCTGCCGCTGCTGCCGCTGCTGCTGCTGCTGCTGTTGCTGCTGTTGCTAATGCCGCTGGTGCTGCAGATGCCGCTGCTGTGGATGCTGTTGACATTGGTTGTGGTACTGGTGCTGCCTCTGCTGTTCTTCTCTTGGAGAGCGCTGCTGACGTCGCTGGTCATGGCAACGACAGCAGGGGGGGTGAGGTTGAGCCGTGTAGCGACGCTGAGAACATGGGAGCCGCCGGTGCTGGTGGTGCTGATGAAATGGAGATTGATCCAGGGAAGGGCTGTGAGGCAGTGGATACACAGATGGAGGAAGGCGACCCCCCTAGGGAACACGTAGAGAAGGATGATGCGTTGGAAGACGGGGATGCAGATGATGCAGCCCCCAGATATAGTGCACTTGGAGGGCAGGGACGCTCACATGGGGAGCACTCACATGGGCACTCATGTGGTGAGGACATGAAAGGGCCAGGAGAATGTTCACCCGAGACAGGTTCGCATTGGGACCGCCTGCATGCAACTAGCCCCAGAGGCGACTCCTCAGATGCGGCATCTGGATCTGCCAGGGGCTGGCTTCAGAAGCACCTCACAGCAGCATTGCAACCTGCCCTGACCCTTGGAGCAGATGAGGCAGGCATGCAAAAAGAACCTATTGGAAGAAACCCCTCTTTCCCAAACTCACCGTTGATGATAGAGAGTGTGATTGAAAGGGATGTGAGTGCGGTGGGGTTCAAGGAGTGGTGGGAGGGTTTGGAGGAGGAGGAGCAGCAGGTGGAGGCGTACAAGATTGGCATGCAGGCTCTGTGGTCGAGAAGACGATCAATGGTTGCCAAGGGATGACGTGTGTGTTCTGTAAAGAGCTAAACTAGGTTTAGTTGACCTATTTCCAATTACAAGAACTATATTATCTATGGCAAGATGCATCCCTTTGAATTGTCTAGGCATCACAAGGGTAGACTAGAGGTGATCCACCATAAGGCAAGTGCCGGCTTTGTTGCTAACATAAGAAATTAATTAATTTAAGTCTGTATTTGCGCTGTGAATCAAACTTCGGTGTCTAGTTAAAATGGTATGTCTTTGTTAAAACTCTTGTATGCATACTAGAACTTAAGAAATAAGAGTCACTATGTGCATAAGGACGTCACTCACTGATCGCTTGCGTTGAGGCAACCAAAGATAGGCCCAGGCTGGGCCGCCAGCCAGCTCATGACGGGCCCGAATTCCTGTCAGAAATGGCGCGTTTGCCGAGATTCTGGGAGCCACAGAGCCCAACCAGTGGCAACGATCTGGATATATCGAAATCGACGGCCAAGACGTCCTCTACTATCTCCCCCCAAAGACCCCTCAACCGCGGCGCCATGTGAGTTGTGGGTTTCTCAGGGCCCAAACAAACCAGCCTTGGTAGCACCCCTGGTTTGGCTTGGATAAAGTCAGGCATGCAGGTGTGTGGTGCGGTGCGATATGGTCCCCCTCTCCCTCTCGGGAAAACTCCCCTCGAACCAACGATAGCCTCGAGGCTCCCTCGAGGCTTGCTGCCAAGGCTCGGAGGAAAACAAGGGAGGTTTGGAACATAGTTACCGAGGCTGCTCTATACCCCCAAAGCGACAGCTCAGGTCAGGTGGGCAGACTAAGTGTAGCTAGCTGCGGCGAGAAAAGGTGACTCTGCTGCAACAAAACTCAGCTGGTTTTAGTCGGCGATTCAGACAGTTCTTGTCCCTAGTTTCGATCTTCAATCTATGCACCGTGCTAGTTGGGCTTTTACGGAGATTTGGCCTTCTTGACGTAGCTCCACCATAGAGGGTCTTTTCCAATATCTGAAGTATCCATTCCCCATTCTGAAGCTTGGAGGCTACGATTGCGAATAGTGTAAACCGTGCACCTTCCTGTCTACACACACCCGTTGTAAACTTCTGTTCAGTTCGTCGCTTACAGAAGAGCCGCCATGGATGTGGCAGCAAACGGATCGCCAGATCCGGCCCTGTCTCCACCGAAGCTGGGCCCGCGAGAGCCTGACAGCATTCCGCACTCTATGGCTCGTAGCGGGAGCACCTCTAGCGCGGATAACACGGATTCGCGTCAGCAACGACAGCCGCAGCTGCTCCGGTTGCAGCCTACGGGTCACGATAAGAAGTGGCAGGAGTGGCGTGAGTGGCTGATGACTCCTTGCCTCGCTGGGCTGAAGACTTGGCAGCTGCTGCTTCTGGTAAGCCAAACCGGATCTCGTAAGGATTCGCTTGTCACTTTGTCGTACGCATCGAACTGCTGACCGATTTGTATAAATGGCCCACATCTCGGTGATCTGGCTAACGATATGGTGGCTTTGTGTGTTTGTCATCCTGATCTTGTCGTTCTTCAACCGGCAGGCCGTGCTACCCTTCCTGCCAGCGATCACCATCGCCCTCGCGGCATCGCTGCCGATCCTCTTCATCGGGGTGGCAGCAGTGGCCCTCACGGGGTTCGCCATGACCCCCATGCTGGTGCTCGCCGCGGTTCTCTTCCTCGCCTTCTTCCCCGCCCAGCGCCGCTGGCTGCTGCAACTCGTGCAGCGGGTGGCCGCCTCGCTGCATCTGCTACGGCCGCTTCCTCACGGGCAGCAGCAGCAGCTGCAGCCGTCGCAGCCGGTGAAGCACGCGGAGAAGCCCCGCGGCGAAGGCCGGGATCTTGCAGCGGAGCAGCAGCCTGTGCGCTCGCCGACTGTGGATCCTGCCCGCTCGGCCTCATATGCAGCTGGTGAGGCTGGAAAACCGGTCGAGAACGGTTCAAGTGGTCGCGTCGTGGTGACAAGCAGCCCTCGCGTTCGAAACGGCCCTGCAGTCGCATCCACCAGCCCCAGTGTTGCGGTCTCATCTCACCCAGCTGTTGCTCCAGCCGAGATGGGCAAAGCAAAGGTGGCTGGTGCCGGTAGTCCCGGGGGAAAAATGGGTGAGGGGGTGCGAGCGCCTGGCAAAACGGCATTCGCAGCTGAACGTCACGGTTCGCCTAAGGCAGTTGCTGCCCGTGCAGCACTTAGCCCTAGCAGGGGAAAGTCTGAGGGTGCTGGGAAGGGATCCGGCGAAGGGGAATCGCCTGCCAAATTGAAGGAGGATAAGCGGGAGGCTGGCAATGCGAACAAGGCTGTGGCACAAGTGGAGCATTCTGTGACTGGGAAAGCTGGAGAAGGGGTGCACCAACCTGGAACGGCAGGGAGTGGGAATGGGAGTGCTACTGGAGGGAAGAAATCAGGAGCCACGAAGGGCCAAGCGAAGGGCCAAGGGAAGATCAAAGGAAAGAATAAGAGGGGTTAGCAGTGTGGTAGCATGATCGAGTATGAGGCAGGCCATCAGTCTCAGATCTCTCTCTCGAGAGGGTGAGCCAGGTGACTTGCATGTTCATAAGCAAGCTCCTGGATGCAGGCGGGTAGATGCAGTGGTCGTATCTAAGCTTGGGAGTGCAATAAGATTTGGTAGGTAATCTCTGACAGGAAAAACATTAAGTGACATTCATACAGTTTCTAATGCACAGCCAGTTCAAGTCACCAGTCCTAACCACTGGGACAAGAAGGGATGTCATTAGGAGGGTAAGGTTCCATATATCCACCTTCCCTGGGGAGAGCCTCCCCAGTACCCTCCCTAGAGAGAGAGACAGGATCGACCCGGTTATCCCAGTGCCACGACATAGCCAAGAATATGCAACACATGCAACATGTAGGTTTTTTGTTACAATTTCGGAAGGGGTCTGAATGGTTACCCTGTACAAATTGGGAACAGTGAACAAGTGGGGGGGGGGATGGAGAAGGGAAGCGTGTGATTGGACGATGGGGGAAAACGGGTTCCGCGAAGCCAGCACAGACTCCAACCTGAGGGAGGAAATGGCCAAGGGGAAAAGCTGTTGCTTGTAATTTGGGACTGCCAGAAACCATTTTGTTAACAAAATGGAGTCATGCGTAGCATTTCCCTCTTGCCTATCTGAGAAACTTAGGACACGAGCCTCTTAAACTTAGGAGGCTAGGTAGGCTAGGATACTAGAAGTGACGCCATGGAATATCGTGAGGAGAAGTTTATCTAGGGGTAGGCAAAAGTGACGAGAAAGAAGAAGTCGATTAGGAAGAGAGGGGAGTACAAGGAGGGGTTTGTACCCCCTACAGAAAGGTTCAATAACAACCTACCAAGCCTATATTAAATTATAACTTATATAATTTTAACAGCCTAGTCCTCTCGTCACCGGGCTCCAGGGCTACCGAGGGCAAATCGCGCTGGTTAGCTTGCCACCTCGCTCCGCGTAGCATCCCGCTTGTTGGAAATACCTCAAGGACTTAAGCGTTTCTGAAGTGTAACACCACACTCGAGGAAGATCGTAACGGGTACGCGAGTCAACGGAGGTTACACGAGGGGATGGACAAACAACACGAAAGGACTCGAAGGGTCGCAACTGGAGGTTGCGACTGACAGTTACAGCTGCAAAGATGGTAACCGAAGCGACAATCGAGTTGCTGTGCGACTCGATAAACCGCCCTTTTTCAACTGTATTTTACAACTGCTTTACTTTCCTACTTTCTATATATTGCTGTATGCTTGTTCCTTTAATCAATCACTTGTTCTCATATACTAGTACAAGGGTTCAACAACCTCAACTTCCGCTGCACTACTCAAGTCTTTTACAACTGGGACTTAGTCTCTAGAAAGATCCTAAGGGCATTTCTCAGCCCAACATGGTATGAGAGCTGGTCAGATACCAAACTCCCAAGCAACAACGCTCTATCTTCAATCAGCACACCAACGATTTCATAAATTACAAGTCATGGACAGCAAGGGCAAGAAAACCTCTACGGGCTCACCCAGTGCCCAAGATACTCAACCCGGCAACTCTGGACTGCACACTTCAGGACTGCAAACCGAGACCGGCGCTGCTCAAGAAACAACAGGAAGAGCACCAGAAATGGTGACCCCATCACCCTCTTCAAGCGGCAGCAGACAAGGACGCCTGCACATTCAATACAGAGCAACGGAGGAAACATGGGATTAGCGCCGATGAGCCTCGACAACTCATCGTTCGGGCGACACAATCAAGCGCCTACCTTCGCGCCTTATCACTCTTCACCGGGGACGTTCGAGTTCATGCCGCCCCGTGCCCAACCAACAGCAGCTGCATCACAACAGACACCAAGCGAGATACTTAGTCTCCAGGCGCAGTTTTCACACGTCATCAAACTACAGACATCCTCACCGTTCAACGGACACGACTTTTTTACCTGGAGCTTTGAGTTCGAGCTGCTGATGGAGGCTGCGCATCTCTTGGGATACTTCAACGGGTCCCTGCCATTCCCAAGCAACGGCACTGCAAAAGAACAAGAGATCTTCACGTATCAGTCGTTGCTGACGTACACAGTCCTCCTACGGAACCTGTCACCACAAGAACAGCAACGCATAAGAACGTATAGGAGCTACGTAAACTCCGCGGAACTTGCATGGCATCACCTCAAGTGCCTCTATCAAGCAAATGACTGCGTGACACAAAGCAGACTCTTGTAGCAGCTGACAACAATACAGATGAAGACCGGGGAAAAAGCGATATAGTATATGAGTCGATGCCAGACACTCCGCGACCGCCTGCTTCGGTGCGGAGGAACAATCACTAAAGAAAGCTTCGTAACGCTTGTCCTCGCCGGACTCGGGCCAGAATGGAGAACCACCCGCTCGCTCCTTCGCGCCCACGGACGAATCTTGGAGATGCACCTCTGCGCCGAGCTCCATGCTGAACAATAGGAGATGGACCTGTTCAAAGAAAGGCAACCAAGGAAACAGCAACCATTAGTCTTCTACACTCAACGAAGGAACGACAACAACTACAACCGACGCGGCAAACAAGATGAACGCGACAACAGAGGACTCACAATTGTGCCGCCATTCTGCCACAACTACCAAACATCCGGACACTCCAAAGTCCACTGCACACGTCCCCAAACTTATCGTCCAGTAGACCCACAAGTCGCTTCCACTCAAGAAAGTCCGCCGAAGCGCTCTTCCACATCTGCACAAAATAAACCGAATATCATCAAGTGCATGGTACACATCGACAACTGCGCACCCGGATCACCGCCAACTTACGCTCCCGATGAAGAAGAACTGTTGCCGCCGCGCTCACAGGAACTTCAGGTCAACCCAACGTACGCTGAAGTCGCCAACTCCGAACCCACCGGACGCAACACTTGGTTCTTGGACAGCTGTTGCGGCCAACACATGTGTTCTTCCGGGCGTTTCGTGCAACGAGAACGACGTCTCAACCGAGACGTCATCATCACCGTCGCCAATAACGAGAACCTGAAGACAAACAGACAAGGAGTGGTTCAGTTACAATCCATGAAGACAAACGTTATACTGCAACTCAACAAGGTCCTCATCGTCAACAACTTGGGATACAACTTACTAAGTGTCACAGGATCGAATGTGTCGAGGAAAGGTTGCACTATCGATCAGTACAAGGCGCTTTTATACTTCCAAAGTACATCAGGTAACCAGGTTTATCTTATCCTAAGGAAATAGACCCTTCTAGAAGATAGAAGCACCCTGCGTATAGCCACGCGAGGCTATTGGCTTTAAGGGATTACGACAGGATTACGCCAGATAGCGCACCAGTACATCCCAAGCCTGGTCGGTGATATAATTATAATAGCAGGATAAACCAAAGGTTAATGGAAAATGGAGAATAGGAAACCAAATGAGATGAGATAAAGAGAAATGAACGAGGAAAGAAATAAGAAAAGGGACAAGTGGTGTAACGGGGTCGTACTCTCATACTTCCCCCCCTCAAAGATGGGTGGTAGAAGTAACACCCTGCTTGACAAGGTAGTCATGCAGAGGACGACGGGCGTTACCCATGTCGGACTCAGGGACCCAGCTGTCCTCAGAAGGATCATAACCTTTCCAACAGATGAGAAGCTCCACGGTACCATTCCGACGGCGGCGACGGCGGTTGGCGTCCGACGAAGATCGTGTTCGGATCCCGGTAGGGCTTCAGAAGCTGGACATGGAAGGCGTTGTGAATCTTCCAGGTAGCTGGCAGGCGTAAGCAGAAGGTAACAGGAGTGACCTGTGCTTCAACAAGAAAAGGCCCGCAGAAGCGAGGTCGAAGTTTAGATGGGAGGTGGCTGATGTCCAGGTTGCGGGTGTCAAGAAGCACCTGGTCTCCCACCATGATGGTGTGGTCGTTGCGATGGCGATCGGCCTGGCGTTTTTGTTGCTGCTGAATGTCGAGGAGGCGCTTGTGGGTCCGATCCCAAAGCTGATGCATGGTTGTGATGAAATCATGTGCAGGTTGTACCGTAGCGGATGTGGTCGGTTTTTGTGGTGTGAGTGGATGACGTCCGTAGCAGAGGAAGAACGGCATCTGTCCAGTAGCGGCATGTGTGGCATTGTTGTAGGCAAACTCCAGGACGGGCAGATGCAAGTCCCATTTGGAGATGTCGTCCTTGCAGGCTGCGCCGAGGAGTTGTTCAACAATTTGGTTGAGGCGCTCGGTCTGTCCGTCTGTCTGCGGATGGTATACAGATGACATGGCGAGTTTGGTCCCGAGAAGAGACATAAGTTCCTTCCAGAACTTGCTGGTGAACTTGGGGTCTCGGTCGGAAATGAGTGTGGTTGGGATGCCATGCTGTGAGATGATGTGACGAACGAAGAGCTGTGCTGTCTCTTCGGTGCGTGCCGTCGTGTGTGTCCGGATGAAGTATCCCATTTTGGAGAACTTGTCAATGACGACAAGGATTGCGTCATGATTGCTGGTGGTAGGTGGTAACCTGGTGATGAAGTCGAGGCTAACCACTTGCCATGGCTGTTCTGGGACAGGAAGAGACTGCAGTAGTCCCTCCTTTTTCTGCTTGCTGCTCTTCATCCGCTGACATTTATCACACGATGTGACGAATTTCTGGACGTCGTCTGCCATATGGGGCCAGTAGTAGTGTTTGGCGATACCGGTGAGCGTTTTGTTGCTACCGAAGTGTCCGGCGTACAGGACGTCGTGGTATTCTTCGAGTAGTAACTAGCGCAAAGGAGGGTAATTGGGTACCCAGATTTTTGTTGATCCTTTCCGGTACGCGATGTCACTGTCCCACTGTAGCAGATGTCGCTTTTCTGCCAAGGGAATTTCGGGGTCGATGGCGTACCCGTGTGTGAAGAGTCCCTTGAGTAGTGGATTCATCCCTTCAATCTGAATGGCGGCAACGTGTGCAGGCCGGCTGAGAGCGTCTGCTTTGTTTTTGTGGCCGGGCTTGTACACGATGTCGTAGTGGAAGTGTGTCTCGAGGAAGTCGATCCACCGGACCTGCCGCCTGGAAAGATTGGGTTGTGTCTTCAAGTATTTCAGGCTGCAGTGGTCGGTGTACACGGTTGTTCTTCGTCCTTCGAGATAACATCTCTACGCTTTGAAGGCGATGACGATGGCAAGGGCCTCTTTGTCGTGTATCGGGTAGTTTAGTTCTGCTCCGTGTAGTTTCTTGCTGAGGTAGGCGATTGGTTGCAGTCCATTCCCCTGGTCTTGCATTAAGACTGCTCCCACTGCTTGGTCACTGGCGTCAGCTTCGATGACGTAGTCACGTTCGGGATCTGGCAAGATGAGTACCGGTGCGGACGTGAGTGCTTGTTTCAGCTGCTCCACGGCTTCCTGGTGCTTTGGTTCCCATTTATAGGGCGTGTTCTTCTTCAGCAGATTCGTGAGTGGTGCTGCGATTTTCGCATATTGTGGCACGAACCTGTTGTAGTAATTAGCGAAGCCTAGGAACTGCTGCAACTCCTTCACGTTCTCGGGTGTCTTCCACGTGCGTACGGCCTCGATTTTCTTGGGGTCGACGTGAACTCCTTGAGCGCTCACCATGTGTCCTAGGAACTGGACCTTTTCAAGGGCGAATTCGCTCTTGGACAGTTTGACGTAGAATCGTTCCCGTCGAAGAATTTCGAAGACGCGTCACAGGTGTTCGACGTGCTGCTTCATGTCGCGCGAGTAGATGAGTATGTCGTCCAGGTACACCACCACGCATTCGTCCAGAAATGGTCGTAGAATGTGGTTCATTTCGGCTTGGAACGTTGCCGGCGCGTTGGTGAGTCCGAACGGCATTACCAAATACTCGTACGATCCATACCGAGTTCGGAAAGCAGTTTTGTGGATAGAGTTGTCCGCCATCCGTATCTGCCAGTACCCGGACCGCAGATCCAGTTTGGAAAATACCGTAGCTCCCCGAAGCTGGTCAAGCAGGTCATCGATTCGCGGTATCAGATATTTATTCTTGATGGTCTGCTTGTTAAGAGCTCGGTAGTCGATGCACATGCGCAGGCTTCCGTCCTGTTTCAGTGTGAAAAGTACAGGGGCACCGTATGACGAAGTGGATGGCCGGATGAGTCCTTTGGCTAGGAGATACTCGATCTATTTTTTCATGTCAGTCAGCTCCGTAGGGCTGAGCCGGTATGGTGCTCGGAAGGTCGGCTTCGAACCCGGTTCCTCCACGATCTCGTGTTGATGCGTTCGGTATGGCGGTAGCTCGTTCGGAAGATCGTCAGGAAGAATGTCTTGGAACTCCTTCAGTAATTCCTTGATTTTTTCTGGAGTTTCCGAGGCTTTCTCTCCGTCATTCTCCACCTCTGTTGCTATTGCCAGGAACCCGGTGTCGGTCCGCTTCACGTCCTTCTCGAATCGTGCGAGTGTCTCCACTGGGATATCTCCAGTATCGTCCCAGTTGGGTAGCTGTACTCTCCGTCCATTGTTGTAGATGCTTGCAGTGCGGTTCACCCAGTTGATCTCGGGGTTGAATCTTTTCAGGAAGTCTCGCCCGAAGATCAGGTCAAGCCCTTTGATGTTGGTGATGGGGAGTGCAGGTCTCCAGCGTAGTGGTCTGATTTGTAGGTGTAGCACTGCTTCGCCGTATACTGGTAACTTGCTGCCGTCCACCATCGTTGCAGAGAATCCCGAAGGCTTGTACTCTTCCCGAAGTCGGTCGATTACTGCCTTGTCGTAGACGGTGTGTGACGCTCCGCTGTCCATGAGTGCTTGGAGGCGTCGTCCTTTGCAGATGACCTCGAGCACGAGGGGCAGTCGTTGCTCGGAGTACCCAAAGATAGTTTCATTGACTGGGTCATAGGGTACATCCCAATACTCCGTACACACCTTTGTGTTGCTATCTACTCCTGAGCTGGCAGCTGGCCGAGGCTGCTTGGAGAACGGCTCTTCTCCAGGGCCCGGAGTTTCCTTGATGACTGTGCGCGTTACTGATGCCGAAGAACTGGATGCATCCGTAGGAGGAGTTCGGGGTTTGTGCAGCTTCTTGTAGACCCTCAGCTTCCTCTTGAGCTGCTTCAGCTCCACCGACGTCTTCCCTGGGGAACGGGTAGTCGTTGTGGGTTGGTGCCGGGAGAGGACGTTGACTCCGTGGAAAGGTCGGCTTCTTTCCACACTCCTTAATTTGGTCCCCAGGTTTTCCGGTACCGGTATAATCTCCACAGCTGTCTGCTTCTTTTGGAGTCCCTCCCAAAATTTCTCCAAGGCTCTAGCCCCTCGAACATCATAAGTTTTCATTAAAGCATCTTTATAAGATAACTTTAACGAATTCTTATAATTTCTTGGGTCTTCAAAGAGTTTCCCTGTCTCGGCAGAGTCTTTTTTCGCGGAGTCGTATTTTTCCTCGGCGATTTTCCCTGGCGAGGACTGGTCGTGGGGTGGAGATTTCCCCCCATCATTTCCTCCTTCTCGCGTCGAATCAGCTTCGTCGAAGTTGATTTTTCCGGAATCCCGCGGCCGTTTTCGGATCTTTTTATTTTCGCCAGCTAGATCCGCAATCACTGGCGACTCCCGTTTTTTGACTTTTGATTGGCTGAAGGAATTCCGCCACTGTTGCGTGCCGATACTCTGCGTGTGCGGCTTTCATTTGCTGCAGTCGAAAATTCGATGACCCGGCACCCCGCAAAAAGCACACGTGTAGTTGGTGTTTTTCGGACGTGGCCGCCCCTCGAATCTGTCGACTTCCATCGGGTCGGCGAACGTGGGGTGAGCCGAGCGGTCGCCCTGTCGCGTACTGCCGACGTGCGTCCGTCGTGTTACGGCGTTGACCATGTCGAAGCGCTCCGCTGCCGAAACGACGTCACTGTAGCTCGCGTAGTTTGACGCTGCTACTTGTCGTTTGACTTCGGTCTTCAGTCCGGCGAGGTACGATTGTACTTTTTCCCCTTCGGTCAGGTTGGGAATGCGGTTATAAAATTCCTCCATCTGCTGCGTGTACTGCGCTACACTCCCGAACTGTCGGTGTCAATGAATTTTTTCCCGGGCAAGGAAACTGGAATTTATCGGCTCGAAGCGTTTCAGCAGGTCGGTGCGAAACTGCGGCCACGTGGCTTCACCGTGGATGAAAGTACTGTTGCCGCCAATCCACTCGAGTGCCGGCCCTCGCATCAGTGTCGCCGCGAGTCGTACACGTTGTCCGTCCCAGACTGGCAAGCTCCATCCGACGGCTGCGAAGTAGATCTCCATCCCGGCGATCCATCTGCGGGCGTCGGAGTTTCGATCGCTCGGATCGAACGGCTCAGGTGGGCGCGGTTTCGGAGCCTCGAGAAACTGCTGCGAGTGCTGCGTCGTCGCCGTTGTCGTCTCGTGCTGCGCTCCGGCGAGTCGAGTTACTCGCTCGAACTGGTTTCGCCACGCTTCGCGATCCGCTCGCATTTCCTCCTGAAGGGCTGCGATGCGCGCGAAGAGCTGCTGGGTAACCTCGGCGTTGTCGAAGGTTGCCATCCTGTTCAAAACACGCACGGAGGGGGTAATTCGAAAATCGCGGAGCTGGTGCTTACCAGAATCGGCGTCGAATTGGTCGCCCCCGGCGGTTTTTCGAGGCAGGTTTTCCCGCTGCTGCTGCTTTGTTGAGCGCGGCCGAGTGAGAAAAGCTCAGATTACCAAGTGTCACAGGATCGAATGTGTCGAGGAAAGGTAGCACTATCGATCAGTACAAGGCGCTTTTATACTTCCAGAGTACATCAGGTAACCAGTTTTATCTTATCCTAAGGAAATAGACCCTTCTAGAAGATAGAAGCACCCTGCGTATAGCCACGCGAGGCTATTGGCTTTAAGGGATTACAGCAGGATTACGCCAGATAGTGCACCAGTACATCCCAAGCCTGGTCGGTGATATAATTATAATAGCAGGATAAACCAAAGGTTAATGGAAAATGGAAAATAGGAAACCAAATGAGATGAGATAAAGAGAAATGAACGAGGAAAGAAATAAGAAAAGGGACAAGTGGTGTAACGGGGTCGTACTCTCACACTAAGCGTCAGCCAGTTAATGGCAAAAGGCATTCACCTGGAGTGCGACTTGGACTCCAACGAATTTTGCCTATACCACGGAAAGGGCGGTCTCTTCATCGGTCGCGCTCTACTGAAGTCCGGCGTCTTCGTGTTGGACTTCGTCCCCGACCGCGGTACCGCCGATAGCGATGGCATCGTGTCATTCGCCGCATGGACACACCCACCGGACCTTGACCCCGACTTCAACCAAGATGGATACTGGTACTCCAACACCATACCTGCAGCAGAGAGAACACGGGCGTTAGCAGTCATTCGACAAGAAAGACAAGTACCGGCAAGCGTCTCTTCATCGACATCACCTGAAATCACAGCAGCAGGACCTAGCAGAGTATCACCACTAGCAATCCGAGGACCGCCAACCGAAGCAGATCAACTCATGCCCACCACACGCGAAGTCTGCCGAAGTCCCGCCACCGTCGTCGCGTTCTTCTCCAACACCGACATGTATCATCGATCGCCCGGCCATCGAGCTCCCTACGACATCTGGCATCAACGCCTTGGGCATCCTGCAAATAGCACAGTACTACAAACCATCCAAGCCGAAGTGTTAGAACGAAACGCTCTCCTTACAACAAGCGGACAGGAACTTCGACGACCTCGCGCACGATGCTTCACATGCCCCGTAGCAGATCTTCAACACCAACCTTTTCCGTCACATCACAATCCAAGCGCACCTGCATATGCACCGATGGAAAAGGTTTACAGCGACATCTTAAACATGCCTCGAGACGACACTGAAGCCGACTTCAACTATGTCATCACGTTAATCGATGCAGCAACAAGATATGTATGGCACTACAACCTCAAGACGCGCGATCAAGCTTTCAAAGCCTTCACGACGTGGCTCCCCATCGCTGAACGAGAATCAGGAACGAAGCTCAAAAGCTTCCAGTCAGACGGCGCACTCGAATACCAGTCACAACGCTTCAGGACCTACTTGGCGGAAAGAGGAATCAGACGCTTGGTGTCCCTGCCCTACGCTCACCAGCAGCAGGGGGTCGCAGAACGAATGAACCGGACCTTGCAGATGACGATGCGAAAACTGCTCCTGGCGATGAGACTGCCCAACACACTGTGGCCAGACGCGATGACACATGCAGTCCACCTGCACAATCTGTTGTCATCGTCATCGCTTCCCAACAACGCATCACCGCACCTGCTGTGGACACGAAAAAGGGGCAGCACAAAATTACTTCGAGTTTTCAGCTGCATGGTATAGTACAGACCCCACACAGCCCGAGCGGGACGCTTCACTCAACGAGCACGGTGGGGATTACGCCTCGGCATCGCCAAACTTTTTCACGCATGGAAAATCCTCGACATACAAGACAAAAATACGGTGGCATCACGTGATGTTATCTTCTACGAGCGACTGACGCTGCAGCATTACCTGGACAACATTGCCAACACACACGACCCCACCGACGGCCTCGCGGGCCTTCGTTCCTTCGCCGACCGTGCTGCCGAGGCTGACGCAACAGAAGAAGACGTACCTGGAGCCTCGGAAGCTGCCGGACCATTCCCTTTCTGTTCCGTACCTGTTCCACTCGACGAAGACAATCCTCTCGATAGCAACAACCTCGACACCCTCTACCACTTCGCTGACCAAGGTTACGCTACACCTCACCCGGTCGACAGGAATATCTCAGAACGCATCGGCCCCAATTTCTTACCTGATCCAGAAGATGGTGACGAAGCAGCCTATTCCGGGAATGAAAATTCCCCTCGACACACACCCACGGGACTGCAAATCCTCGGCTTATGGGTCTCCATCCAGCACCCGCCGCCGCCATCTCCGCGTGAGCCAACGACTCTGTCGCAGGCTCTGGGGGGGGAACATAAGGCGAAATGGAAGGAGGCAATGGAAAAGGAACTGAAAGCTCTGCAAGACCGAAACACATGGAAGCTGGTACCTGCAACGAACGTCAACGGGAAGAACGTTCTCTCGAGAAAATGGGTGTACCGCATCAAGACCAATGCGGACGGCTCCATCGAACGATTCAAAGCTCGCTGGGTCGTACGAGGATTTGATCAACGATACGGAACCGACTACACAGAAACATTCGCCCCAGTCTCTCATCACACCTCCTTGCGCATCTTACTCGTCGTCGCGGCCACAAAGAAACTACCACTGCGCCAGATCGACGTCGCAAATGCCTTTCAGTACGCACCTGTGGACGCCGAAATCTTCGTCGAGCAGCCCCACGGATTCATCGACGACCCCACAAAAGTAGGCCTGCTGATAAAATCCCTTTACGGGATCAAGCAAGCCCCGCGGCTCTGGCAGCAGCATCTTCACGGTCGCCTCGTCAGAATCGGATTCCTACAGCTGCCACATGACCAAGGCATGTACCGACTGCAGAAGGGAAGAGAGTATATTCTACTCATCGTTTACGTCGACGACCTGCTCTACATCGGTTCCACTACCGACATCGCCACCTGGTTAGAAGGGGAGCTGAAAGGGGACTTGACACTCACGGTGTCCGACACAGTGACCCAGTACCTGGGTCTGAATGTCGTCGAAGACAACTCGGCGTTCTACCTATACGCTGGGAAGTACGCAAAGAAGTTCGGACGGCGTTGTCGCAAAGAAGTTCGGACTAACACCAACTACAGTCGCGACTCCCTACCGCTACGGGAACAACAACGACACCTCCGAAAAACTCCCCGCGAAGCAAATCCGGGAGTATCAGCAGAAGCTCGGCTGCCTACTATTCGCAGCAGTAACCTGCCAACCTGACCTATCCTACAGCGCAAGCCAGCTGGCGACGCATCTGAAGCAGCCGGAACAAGAAGATCTCGAACAACTAAATCGGGCACTACTCTACTTCGTCTCTTCGCCGACGACCGGACTTACCTACAGCAAAGTAACAACACCATCCGTACAACTACTCGGATACGTCGACGCCGACCACGCTGGGGACAGAGAAAATCGACGATCGAGAACGGGCTACATCTACCAACTAGAACCTATCGGGTCTATCTCTTGGCAGTCGAGCAAACAGGAACTAATCGCACTATCTTCGGCTGAAGCAGAATATATCGCCCTCTGTACTGCGACCAAGGAAGGAATCTACCTGCGAGAGTTGCTCGAGGAAGCGAAGATTGCGACCTTGCCCGTCTTCTCACTCCTCTGCGACAACCAATCTGCGATCAAAATCGCGAACAAGGACGGCTTCGCCAACCGAACCAAGCACATTGCCCTGCGGTACTTTTTCGTCAAAGATGAAATCGCAAAGGGGAGACTTAGTTACTGCCCTACGGCAGAAATGGCCGCAGACTACCTGACGAAGAAACTGGCGAAGGCAAAGTTCGATTACTGCATGTTGCTGACTGGGCAGACAAACGTCACCGGATCTGAACACGTCAGCACTCCAGAAACGAAGGGGAGTGTTGGAAATACCTCAAGGACTTAAGCGTTTCTGAAGTGTAACACCACACTCGAGGAAGATCGTAACGGGTACGCGAGTCAACGGAGGTTACACGAGGGGATGGACAAACAACACGAAAGGACTCGAAGGGTCGCAACTGGAGGTTGCGACTGACAGTTACAGCTGCAAAGATGGTAACCGAAGCGACAATCGAGTTGCTGTGCGACTCGATAAACCGCCCTTTTTCAACTGTATTTTACAACTGCTTTACTTTCCTACTTTCTATATATTGCTGTATGCTTGTTCCTTTAATCTATCACTTGTTCTCATATACTAGTACAAGGGTTCAACTACCTCAACTTCCGCTGCACTACTCAAGTCTTTTACAACTGGGACTTAGTCTCTGGAAAGATCCTAAGGGCATTTCTCAGCCCAACACCGCTCCTCACTGCCCACCGCTACCCTAATCCTGGGCAGTTAGGTTTTTTAGAATTCTAAAAAAAACTTATCCGGCTTGGCGTATATTCCCGCTTCCGCCACTAGCTGCGCCGAGCTGCCTGCAGCTGCCCATTACCCGCTCTTCCCCGCCGTCGGCGCTGGTGGGCTGCAAAGGGGAACCCACTTTCCGCTGGTTCCTACATCGAGCCCGCGCGACCCGCCGACCGCGCATAGCTCATCTCAACCCCGCGGCCACGCCGTGTCACGCTGCTTCCCACAGCTAGAAAACGAGCAGGGAGGAAGAGAGGCGATCGAGCAGGGAGGAAGAGAGGCGATCGAGCAGGGAGGAAGAGAGGCGATCGAGCAGGGAGGAAGAGAGGCAATCTAGCAGGGAGAAGAGAGGCGATAGAGCAGGGAGGAAGAGAGGCGATCGAGCAGGGAGGGAGAGAGGCGATACAGCAGGGAGGGAGAGAGGCGATAAGGCATGGAGGGAGAGAGGCAATAGGGCAGGGAGGAAGAGAGGCGATAGAGCGGGGAGGAAGAGAGGCGAAAGAGTGGGGAGGAAGAGAGGCGATAGAGCGGGGAGGAAGAGAGGCAATAGAGCGGGGAGGAAGAGAGGCGATAGAGTGGGGAGGAAGAGAGGCGATAGAGCGGGGCGAAGAGAGGCGATAGAGTGGGGAGGAAGAGAGGCAATAGAGCGGGGCGAAGAGAGGCGATAGAGTGGGGCAAAGAGAGGCGATAGAGCGGGGCGAAGAGAGGTGATAGAGCGGGGCGAAGAGAGGCGATAGAGCGGGGCGAAGAGAGGCAATAGAGCGGGGAGGAGGAGAAGGGAGAGATCAGGAAGGAAGAGAGGCGAAAGAGCATGGAATCTGAGAAGCGATAGAGCAGGGAGAAAGAGTGGCAAAAGAGTAGGGAACAAGAGGGGCCAGCGAGAGCGGGGTGGGAGAGATCAGGGAGGAATAGAGGTGCAGGAGAACATGGAGGAATACAGGCAAGAGGCCTCTGGGGGGGAAGAGAGGAGAGAGAGGTCGGGGGAAGAGAGGCGAGAGCGTGGGGAGAAAGAGAGGCGACAAAGGGAAGGGACGGGAGTGAGGCAAGGGCGGTAGGGAAGGAGAGCGGAGTGAGAGAAGGGGAGGGAGCGAGGCGTGAGAGTGCGGGGAGAGTGAGGGGTTGGAGCAGGGAAGGGTTAGCCGAGTAAGAGCGCAGGAGGGGGAGAGGAGGGAGAGCAAGGGAGGGGGGAGGAGGGAGAGCAGGGGAGGAGGAGAGGAAGGCAGGGGAGGGGGGCGTGGAGGGCGATCAGGGAAGGGTGAGATGCGCAAGAACAGGGGAGGGGGAACGGCAGGAGAACGCGGGAGAGACTGAGGCATGAGAGCTGCGAGGGAGTGTAGGCTAGGGATTGTGGGGAGGTGAGTGTGGGCAAGGGTTTATGGGGAAGATGAGTATGGGCAAGGGATTGTGGGGAGGTGTCCGCAGCTTGAACACATGTGGGGGGGGGGAGGGACAGCGACAGCTCGTGTGAGGGGGGGGAGAGGGCAGCATGTGGGTGACCCAAGTGTAGAACAGTGGGGAGGGCAGAACAGTGGGAGTGAGCCAAGAGAGCAGGGAGCGAGAGCATCACCGGTGAGAGACACTGGAAGGAGAGCGAGAGCGAGAGCAGGGAGGGAGAGAGACCAGGGTGCAGGGAGGGAGAGAGACCAGGGTGCAGGGAGGGAGAGAGACCAGGGTGCAGGGAGGGAGAGAGACCAGGGTGCAGGGAGGGAGAGAGACCAGGGTGCAGGGAGGGAGAGAGACCAGGGTGCAGAGAGGGAGAGAGACCAGGGTGCAGGGAGGGAGAGAGACCAGGGTGCAGGGAGGGAGAGAGACCAGGGTGCAGGGAGGGAGA